CACTTTGTTATACAGCCTGAACTGACCGAAACCACCACACCGGGGTGGCCTCTGCATGTGTGTTTCCCCCTTTGTCTCAAGCATCTGTGCAGATTTGAACCTCCTACCATTTGCGGTGGCAGAAACCAAGATTTGGCAGCTAACAGGTTCTGCTTAAAAGCCGGAGGGATGGAACAGTGTCACCTTTCACACCCTTTTCTATGCGTGGCAGTGGTGACAGGCGATCTTGAACCTTCTGTCGGGTTGAATGGATCTTTCTCTCCCCTCCAGTAGCAACATTAAGCAGGGAGCCAGCAAGGCGTTTGGCCAGGGATTTCCACAGGAACAGCGCAAGCATTACATGTTTCAGCTGTTGCAATGATGTGAAATTTATCTCTCTGAGAAAGGAACTCAGGGATCTTGCTGGAGCTTACTTGGGAACAATAGTTAACAGTTGATTAATTTCCAACTATTTTCCAATAGAAGGAAAAAATAATTCAACATATGGTGGGTTTTAAGAGGCTTCATGCCTATCAAGTGGATTTGAAAGTTCCTGGGAACAACACTTTGACAATCAAATTCAATAATAGTAATAATAATAATAGCAAAAATCAACAGATACAATAGGGAAACTTTAAAAAATCTATTTAACAAATGATTAGCTACTATATGTAAGAAAATAATTGCCCAAGGAATAGGACTAAGTATTACAAATGTTCAGAAAGTGCCCTTTCTAGAATCTTTATGCTAAGACCAAAACAACCAGCTTAGCTCCCATCTCTCTTACTGATTGCCTTTTGTGAAGCAGGGCCCTCCGGCATACAAGCCATTTTAAAATATTGCTCTGTATCATTTTTATCCCAAGATAATTACAAGTTCATGTTGGTGCCAAATGCAAATTATGTTTATTTCTTTCTGAAACCATGGCAGGGATTTTAATGGCATTCACTAGAGCATATGGTCAGATGTGTGCATTATTTTGAAAGGTTACTCATGTATGGACTGCAAACACATATGTGACACTGTTTAGAATGGTGCTGGCGTTCACTGGTCTAAGCTTTAATCAACCGATTACACTTTCAGGTGAGATTTTACATTGAACACTCAGCAGTATTGACTGATGCAAATGCTACCGTTTGCCAACTGGAACGCTGTCAAATTTTTTCAGCTTTCTTTTTCACACTGCATTTCAGAAGAAAATGCTCTCGCTGTCACGCTGCATCACAAATGACTTTCTTAGTCCCACCTTAAGTTAATACAGCTGAAGTTGCTACTCAGTTTTCAGCATCCCCTAACAACTGCAAATGTCATGCATGCAGTTCTCTGTATCAAGATATGTTGCACAATTGGCTCTAGGAGAGAGTGCTCTTTTTCCCTAGCAAAGCCACCAAGCAAAATAGATTTTCATTTCTTTTACAGTACAATGGCTGTGAAAGAAACAGTCATCTTTATGTACAGCATGTCTTTCTGGAATAAAGTTGAAATAAATATAGAGAATATGTTTGAATTTAAAGCTTTTATGAATAACCCAGTCCCTTATTACTTGCATCCTGCATGAATCTTTTTCATAATGCAATGTCAACAGCAGACTCCATCTCTTCCATTGAACTCCCATCACTGACACTGTCTCACTAGGCTATTTAGATGTCCTGGGAGAACTGGGCCTCCTTTGGAAGCACATGCATAGCTCCCACTGATCCTGAATCACGTTTTGCATCACAGAATGAAGAAAAAGAATGAATAAGAATATGAGTTGCTTATTTATGATAGCATAAGGTGTTAACAAGCTGTATGTACTTCTAAACCTCAGAAAGATCTCCAAGTCAATAAAAGCAAATTCAGCCTCATGTAGACCCACATTCCTTTCTAGATAAAGGCAATAAAGGGAGCAAATGCCCAGGAAGAGTAGATAAAACTGTTATGTAATGAAGGTTGAAGTGCCAAGTGAAATCATTTGGCTAATTTAAACCTATCCAAACATTTGCTGGAACTAGAGCTTTCGGCTTTACGAATAGCTCATCTTCTTCATTAGCATTATAAAATGATGTTTATTATTAATTATTTATGCTGTAGGACAGATAATATTGGCAGATAGAAAGAGCTTACAAACTTAAGCGGACTCTATGAAGTGGATCTTGGTTGAACTGGATGTGACCATCAAGGACTATTTTAATCACACAACAGAGTTTTCAGACAGGGAAGGACAAATACGTAAGCAAGGATATGTCAATGTGTGCATCAGACCCCCTCCCCCCCAAGTTCTAGAGGGTTCTTAAGAAACAAATGGTAAAGAATGAATCTGAGTGAAAAATAAAAAAGGAAAGCTTTCCTCACAACTTCTTGATTGATTAAGAATCCGAATGACAGAAACATGATCTGTAATGGCCAACTAGGTGTCTTCGCCCATGATATAACCAAGCAGTCTCACAATATCAGGATTATGACCCTCCCACTGCTTAGTGCTGCCAAATGGAGTTGATGTATAACGTTACCAAACTCCACATTTCAAGGCCACCAGAGAAGGATAGGAAAGGGAAGGGAAGGAGAAAAAAAGAGATAAAGAAAGAGGATGGTGGAGAGGGGGAAAGAAAAGAAAAATATAAAGAAGTCACACAGAGTTGTGTCAATATCAAAATGACACACTGGCATCAATTTAGCTAATGGCTAATAATTTTTAGGTCCACATGGACATTTAACCTTTAAACCATGAAAGGCCCAAGATAAATGTTCTTGCTATTATTTACACTTTCACTGCTTTATTCTGGTCCAGCCAACCTAGTCTTGGCTCCCTCTATTCCTTCCTCCTACTCCAGCCTCCAGACATGTTTCTTCATAGAACCCCCATGCCAGCAATAGCCACCTACCAACCATCTGCCAAGCCGCCTTCCTGCCTTCATTCATCTGAAAAATTACTTTAAATTTCACCCCATCAAGAAGTGTACCTCAATTTGTGAGCAGGATCATAAGAGTGAGCCTCGGGAGTATAAAGACAATATTTTATACTTTATACAAAGTGTTTTGATTTTTAACTCTTTCAATGTGTACAATAACATTATAAGGTATTTACTGTACCCATTTTACAAAGGAGGAAATTAAAGCTTAGAAATGTTAAGTGGTTTATCCGTATCTCCTTAGCTAGTAAAGGTCAGAGTTGGAACTCAAATATAGGTCTTCTAATTCCTACTAATACAAATTGCATTTTTATAAAAAAAATGTATTATACATTTTATTCTAGGAACATAAGGGATATGCAAATAATTGTGAAAGTGCCCTATGAGCTCATAATAAATATTAAACCTATTCATCTACAAAATTAATTGACCTTATACAGTAGTGAACCAGAAACAGGAAACTACTTTCTAAGAGTGAATGGCTTAACCACAAACTTTTCCCAAGCAACAGAGAATACTATTTAGTGTTTTGATTTACAAAAATGCAATAAAAAGCTCAGCTAAATCTCCGGAAAGGTTTATACGTAAATAATAACCACACAAGATACATGGGATGCCTTTATTATGCCCTCAAGGTGAGAATGATCACAGGAAAATTCAACAGTGAATGCCTCAGGTGAAAGTAACAAATATTAAACAAATTCCAGCAGAGTCATTTCCATTAAACTTTCATGCTTTCAACAGATATTCATGAGTGTCTAGTCTATGCTAGTCAATGGATAAGATTACAGAAGCTGAAGAGAATAGCCAAAGAGTATATGTGCATACCCCATGGACATAGACAACAATGTGGTGAGGGCCAGAGGGAGGGGAGAGTGGGGTCTGGGTGGAGGGATGCAAAGAGGAGGGAAATGAGAGGTATCTGTAATAATGTCAACAATAAAGAAAAAAAAGATTCAATATTTAGCAAATGAGTGAGGTCTAACCCCCCTGCAATCTAGGAAAACCCTTCTGACTACTACCTTCAAACTTTCTGCTATAATGAACTCTTTGTTCTGATTTTTGTCTTGGTCATTTTTCTGAGAATGTCTCATTTCCTTCAGCCTAGCTCTCAGTGACATTTCAGGTGCTCTTATAGGTCTGACTCTATAGTCTGTGGAGGGTAGCTGCCAAAATTACTATAAGGTCTTCCATCACTTTGCAATCTCTTATTTGAAACTAGAATCCTCCTCTACTCTCTGTACCATCCAACACTCAAGTTTCCCTTCAAGAGCTATGATTGGGTCAGGGGAACATTAGAGTTGCCTCACATTGCCACATATAACATGAATCGGTTATACAAAAGGAAAATTTTCACTGTTCTGACAGTACTGAGATAGTCAATGTTTCAACTCCACTTGACTGGTGGCTCTTAAATTCCATGGATTTAATCACATGACATATTATAGGCTCAAAGTCACATTTACATTGGGCCAGTTCTTACTTATCTTCAGAAGATTATAGAAATCACAGCCACAATTAAAAGATTTTATAGAGTAATAGGAATTCCAGTAAAATAGAACAAAATAAATTAAAAATAAAAACAAGTAGAGAAAGACTTCTAGAATGGCATATTGAGGTCTTTCATAAATCCATTTCTCCATAGAAAAATGGCAAAAACTTTTGAAATCAAAATTTCAAAAACTCTGGAAGTTAATCAAAAGCTTGCAACAATCTGAGGAGCATTTATTCAATGAAAACTATGCACCTTGGTTAGAACAGAAGGGTTTGTGCTTTGTAACTTGATCTATTTCCCTTTTTCTCTCCCAAGCTCCACAATATCCTGAAAAACTGGAAATATTTGACTTGATGGCAGATTAGAAGTAAATTTTTCCATAAGTTTTAAATTTCCTAAAGTTCATATACTTTGTTGCCTTTATGCAAATAAAAAGTGGGGAGGAAAGAAAAACTTCGATTTCTGTTTTCTCCTGTTTCCCAACTCTCTTATGATAAAAAATAAAAATAAGAATAAAATCTTGTTTTCCAAGAAAATGTAATGCAAAAGCAAAACAGATAAAATTCTCTATTTCATCTTAGGGAATGTAGATCATAAGATATATTCACAAGCAGGTGATAGCATATCAATTTTACCTTGAATATATCTGCACTGTTGGGGTTAAATAGCTGGTGTTTCCCAGATCCTAAAATAATTGGACCTGAACATCTTGCTTCTCCATAGACATAAAGGGATACTGTTGCCGTGGTGCCCGCATTTTCAAGATCCCCAGTGACAACAGTCACCTTCCAATCTCCTTCTGCAAAGGAAAAAGAAAATCAACATGAAATTGTGGAGGAACGCCATATTAATATTAGGAAATGGGGAATTCTACATTTCACTTAGTTGTGAAATGAATAATTTGTGAAATCAAGAAGTACTACGATAATTGTTAATCATGGACTCCTCCTGAAGCTAGCATGTGGAAAAGTTTTAGAAATACTATAGCATTTTTATTACAAAGCAAATAAGCAGTGAGCTTTTTCCGGACGGCATATATTTGGGGGGAAATGCTGAGTTGGACACATTTGGTGTTGTTTGGCTGGAAAATTTAGGGGTTTGTGTAGGCATCACTGTCAAATCTTTGGGTGGGAATGAATGACAGACATACTGATAACCTGACACAGGAAGACGTTATCTGTACTAGGAGATGCCCTGTCAAATTGGGGTCAGCACAGTCCTAGCGGAATCATGGTGAGAACAAAGAAGACCTAGAAATGAAGCCAAAAGAGCTGAAAAGGTTTCCAGGAAAGATGGCTAGAGTCCCTTATGGGTTGGGATGAACAAATAAATAAGGAGTAAAATGCTGGATGCAGGACTTAGCGAAAGGAGTTGGGTTTGGGAGAAGGATGGTGTAGAAAGGATGTGTTTGAAACAGAGATGACGTGTATGGAAAGCAGATGGCTCACTGAGCTTCCTGCCTGTGAGGCTGGGTGCGCAGGAAGGCTGAGGCCCACTGGCCAAATCCAGGCTTCCACCGGTTTTTGTAATTAAAGTTTCCCCGGCACACAGTCACGCTCATTTGTTTATGTTTTGTCCCTGGAAACTCCTGTGCTACATGGCAACTGAGTAGTTCCCACAGAGGCCTTATGATCTGCACAGCTTAAGATGCATATTACCTGGCCCTTTATCATAACAGTTTGCTGACAACCAGTGTAACTAAAAACTGTCCTCTCCAGCCTGCATTAGAACATGTGCTGGTTGAGATTGAATATGAGAGATTTAAACAGTGCACGCAACCCTGCCGGTGTGGTTCAGTGGATTGGGTGTCATCCCATGCACCAGGAGGTCACTGGTTCAATTCCTGGTCAGGGCATATGCCCAGGTTGTGGGCTTGATCCCCAATCTATGTTTCTCCATCATTGATGTTTCTATCTCTCTCCCTCTCCCTCTCCCTTCCTCTCTCCCTAAAACCAATAAAAACATATTTTAAAAAATAAATAAACAATGCATATAGAGCTATTAAACCGCACTGATTTCCAAGATTATACAACAGTTTCCAGTCATGCTCCCATCAAATCATAAATACCAGGCTTATTCACAATGGGCAACCTAGACAAAGTCCTAGACAAAGCAGGCTTATCCTACTATGTCAGATTGCATTATTGAAAGAAGGCCTGACTAATATCTACTAACTCACTTGCTCTGCACTATGACCATTTTATTGGGGTACTATGACTTCTATTAAGAAGTGGGGTCTGTTTTCCCTCCCTTTGAGTCTGGGGTGCCCTTGTCCAAATATGATGCATCACAAGTGACATTCTGAGACTTCAGGGTCTAGATGGGCCCGGGTCTTTTAGAACACTCCCTCTTGGATCCCCAGAGTCGTGCTGTGAAAACCTGAAGCACATGGAGAGTCCTCATGTGGGTGGGTAACTCCCCCTGGGCTCCCAGAGTCATCAACAGGCAGCCTGGGTGAGCCACCAGGGAGGACCAGCCTGCCACATCGTCTGATGTCTCCAACAGCAGTGCTAGCTGACTACAACAACGAGAGTTTCCAAGCAAAAAATCGCCTAGCTGAGCCACGCCAACCCACTGAAAGGTGAAAGATACAAATCAATTATTGTTTAGAGCCACTCAATTTTGGGGTGCTTTCTTGTGCAACAGAAAACTGGAACAGCTACTGAAAACATTTCACAGATAAGAGCTCTCGGTTATCCTTTGACTTAAAAATACCATTAGTGTTTTTCCAGGAGGTCTGATTATTGGCATGTATGCCAGGGGGTTTGATGGAGGCATCTCTTTCATTTCCCAGGTAAAGGGGAAAAACAGATTGCAGGCCAGCTGTTAACCTTTTCCTTTCCAAAGCTGTCCTTATTAATTGGAGGAAGGCACAAGGGATTTATTTTGGTGAACAAAGTCCCAATAGCTAGTGACGTTGAACAGCCCCTTCCTTAGGTCTTAACATTTTCTCTTTACCTGATTCTGTGCAGAATTCTGTCCCAGAGTTGGCATGCATTTGACTTTGCAGCTCAGAAAATGGAAACATTTGGTTGAATATAGAAACATCTGTGTCTAGACACATTTTCAGTTACTTGGCAACTGCCCACTGAATACAGTACTCAAACAAATGCAGGAAGGATGCATGTAAATTAAGCTCTTACCATGTAATTGTTAGTTCAGCAGACTGAGGAAAAGCTCCGCAAAGCTGCCTGCCTTAAGTCACCACAGTGCACAGTAAAAACTATAGAGCAGGCACGTTTTGCCTGATGCCACACCAGACAGCACACACATTCACTTACCTTGACAGCAGGGCACAGGAAGACTCTGAGAGTGACAAAACCCACCGCTCCCCTGCAGGTCACGGCCTCGCACTGCCCTGACTCCAATCGGGGGTTTGCTGAGACAGCCTGAGACCAATATCACTACGCATGACATCTCTGTTCGGCTCTCACCCGGTGGAAGGGCTGAGCATTGAGGCAGGGGAAGATGGAGGAGAGAGGGGACAGCAGGCGACTCAGGGGAACAAAGGCTCTAACATTACACAGACCCACCCCCTTTCCCAAAGCCCCGTGATGAGGGCTCTCCAGGCTCCAGGTGGTGAATCCAAGAACGCTTTCCACCCACATTGCCTTGCCTCCCAGAGAGAGGTCAGAATAAATAAAATGTTCTCCACCTTCACATCCATGGTGATATTTTAACATGGCTCACAGACTGGCATGACTGTCAAATGCATAAATTCAACTCCATTCATGATACTGGTGCCCACTGCCCACGGCACCCCCTCAAGCAGCCTCTGGCCCCTCGAAAGCCCTTCTCACACAGCCACTTTCCCTTGCACCGCCCTTCATCTCTCCTAAAGGGCTCCTGCCCACCTCCAGGACTTTGCCTGAGATACCTCTGCCAGATGGTTCTCTTCTACCTCTCTTCTCCTCCCATCTGGTGAACGAACACCTTTGTCTCCAGGCTCAGCTCACAAGTCACCTCCTCCACGAAGCATTTCCAGACCCACTCCCAATAACTAGGATGGACCCATCTCTCCTGCCTCTCTCCGATCTCTGTGCACACTTCACCTTAGATGTGTGAATAAGCACCATTTGTCTGTGGCCTCCTACCCCTATCTGCCCATCTGGATTGCAAGCCACTCGAAGGGCAACTTTTGGTCTCAAATGTCTCTGTATTCCCATTGCCTAGTACAGTACTTCACACCGAGCAGTCTCCCAAAAAAATGAATGAGTGAATGATTTATAAAACCTTTTGAGATCCATTAATGAGTATTTTGAAAAGTAAGACTGTAGGTGTGAGGAAGACTATTCAAGGTATTATTTAAAATGTTTCAGCACAATATTTAACTATTTCATAATTTAAAAAAGAACAAGTCCTTCTGATGAGGTTACATTAGTGTGATTTTTTTTTTTGTACAAAGGACAAAGGCATTGTTAATTTGTCTCATAATTGATCTTGTTATTAACACAATAATAACAGAAACAATATTGACCTTGCATCACCCAAATTTTGAAAGGCATGTAGATATATTTCAATGAGATTTGGCAACGATACTATAAATAAATTATTATTTTATTTTAATTTTTGATAATTTTATCTCCAAATAAGTCTATGTAAATAAACTCACAAGTCCTTTAAAATATAGCTTCATAAGATCATAAGATTTTTTTGAATTTTTTAAGTACTTCAAAAAGACTTTTATTTTTCCAAGAGACAAATAATACGTATCCTAGTATACATGGAAAGCAATAGAGAAATCATGTGCTGACCAGCACAGGAGTTGGGATAAATTTGATAGCGAGTTAGAAACAGCTATGCTGCCTAGGATAAAAGGGTTCCAAACAACGCTCAATTTTCTTCACTTTAAGTCCAGAAAACAACCATAAAACACTCTCAGAAATGAATCTATTATATATTTCATATTGACATGGGTATAGTGTAAATCTTTTGTCATTTCCATGGTTCTGATTATTATTTATTGTTGTGGGGCATAGCAAAGGACACCCCAATTTACAGAGCTGAATAGAGAAGAACCAGCAATAGAGACAGTTGATGGCCGTGGCGGGCGTTGCCTGCTGCAGCCCAAATGCTTGCAGAAGGGACTGTTGCCAGGCGCTCAGGACCCATGATACATTTCATCACAAGGAAAATGTGGTCTAAAAATTAATGTTCATTGGGTACAGAAGATGTACCAGGCTCTATTTAAGGGTTTTATAAGACATTATTTTACCGAATCGGCACAGCANATGATACATTTCATCACAAGGAAAATGTGGTCTAAAAATTAATGTTCATTGGGTACAGAAGATGTACCAGGCTCTATTTAAGGGTTTTATAAGACATTATTTTACTGAATCGGCACAGCAGCCCTGGTAATTTCTCTCATCGTCTCTATTTATAAGAAAGTATCGAGGCAGAGAGAAGCACAGTGACTGCCAAGCCGTGCAGTGACTACCAACCAGGATGCTCAGGAGCCTCTCCGCGTGTTGGAACTTGTATCTCACTATTAATGAGACATAGCTGTCCTTCAGTGCAGTTTACCATGAACCCCTGCCCCTCTGTTTAGTACATTCAGCCCCATTTCAAATCTCGATCCTTGTCAGGGAGGGTAGAGTGACAGAGGAATGTCATGTTCTCTTCAGGGCCCCAGGGGCCCTGTGACCGTCCTCAATCTGGATTCCAGCTTCTCATCAATGGCATTTCTATCTTGTCCTTATTTCAAATTCCCCTCAAGTTTATCCTTCATACCTGCCGCTGAACCTCCCCCAGACCCCTGCCTTTACTGATCCCCACCTTACCTTAGCTAACACAGAA